TCATGGGGCGTCTCTCCGCATGTCGGGTATTCACTTCGCATATCTGCATATATTCCGCTCAGGTATGAGTTCCAGAACGAAGTTGGGCTATTATTGTCCGAGTCAACAGAGGCAGACGAAGCACAAGTCATCAATTCCATTCCCAGTCGCCTTTATCGAACAATCGACCACATAAGAGACAATCGAGATTCCCTCTGGTGGTTGAGGGAGCTTAGATATAAAAGTTGAACAGTAGTGGGGAAAAGACACCACCCTGTGGAACCCCCTGTTTTCATTTTCCTAGGTTTGCTCGATGACGAGTGTTGACCACTCAGATAGATCGCTGACCACCGTTAGAGTCCCTGTGGGAGACGAGGGCTCTGTGTCTTCTAGTAGCGTTCAGTGTCTGACGGTGTCGAACGCCTTGGACAGGTCCAACGCTACTAGAATAGTTTTCTTACAGGGGCGGTTTTGGTTAAGGCCACGAGTTATCTGGGAGTAGAAGGGCCTCTAGTGTCTTCGCTACCGGGGAAAGGAGAGTTATAGGGTGATAGGACTCTCTTTTGCTGGACGGTGTCCCCAGTTTAAGCAGCGGGACCACTCTCCCCATTTTCCAGATGTCAGGTTGAGGGCCTTGGTCAAATATTCCACTCCCGCAGGACCCAAATTTTTCAGCATCAGCATGCAAATTCCGTTGGGTCCAATGGCTTTGGAGGCTTTCGCCTTCCCGAATGCTACCGTTACCTCGCCGCTCGCCAGAGTATGCAGTATGAACTGTCGGCTAAAATAGCTCGCGCATCGCTCCGGGTCCGACGAAGCGTGGTCGCCAAAAGATATTTCAACTCTGTCGTCACGCCTCATCGGGTTGGACAATGACCTCACGGTTGACCTTACTTACTGAAGCTTACTCAGACCAGAGGCGAAGTTGCAGGTCTTCAGATGCTCTTCCCACTTCTTCCGCTTATGTACATACATTCACAAGTTGCCGAATCTCCGAGTTGAGATCCCTGATACGGGTATTTCCAAGATCGGCCCGACGAAGGTTGCACGCTTATCGGCGAGGACAGCCGCTTCAGCAGGAAAATTTGGTCGGGGGTCTGAAATGCATCCTGCTGGAACGAGGCGGGCTGCAGCAGCAGTGATAACCCTGTGGAATTTACGCTCACCTATGTGAACGTCGGTTGGTGTGGGTAGGGCAGTGAAGGTGATTTCAGTAAAATCTGCAAAGCCTTTCCAGTCAGCTTTAGAGAAGTTGACATAGGCCCGGTGATCCGCGGAAGCAAAGTCGGCTGGTTTATCAATCGAGATGACTAGGGGCAGATGGTCTGATGCAAAGGTCAGCATAGGTCGCCATGGTATGCTGTTGAGCAGACCAGCGCTGACAATTGTTAGGTCTGGCGAGCTGCAGAAGCTGCCCATAATCCTGGTGGGTGCGTCGCACAGCGGGCAAAAGTAGTAACGGATTAGGGAATTCTGACCAAACCAAAAATAATTTTTAATAAAACTGCATATTTGCAGTCATGACACGAGCTTAAAGTAGGAACAATGCGAAAAAATTAATTTGTAAGAAAAAATTTTGATTTTGTTGTAATTAATTTGTATCAATTCTTCCACTTGTGCGGATATACTAAATGCCAATCCGATTGATGAGCAGTTTTTGAATATATCTGTGGTCAATGATTGCCATACATTTTTATAAATCTTTTGAAATGTATAAAACAGTTTACATTGAAATTCTACATAATTTTGTAAGTATACAATTTTCCGAGGAATATTTTAAAAGGACCTAGGAAGCAAGCTATATTATACTTCGGACAAGTAAACATTAAATATGCGTGTCATATCTCAAATAGTTCCAACTGCGAGGAAATGCGAGTTTAACTTCTATTCTTCCTCCTGTAAAGTTTATTTAATTTTTATTGTAGAGCTGAGGGGAAAGACTCTGAAATGTACATAAAGTAAATAATAGGCAATATATGTAAAATGGATATTGGAAGGATACCTACACCTTGTAGATATTACTGACTATCTATTAATCACATTCAACATTCAGTAAAAATGGACGCTTCTCAGGACGAGATCCGTTTTCGATGGCAAAAGTCCTACTTGCCTTACCACAGTTTTTTTTTGTATAAAATGTAGGTAAAGCTAAAAGTTTGAGTGTAAATACATATCGTGCACATAATTTAGTAAGCAGGTATGGTAAATGTTTTGGTTTTGTCATTTTCAAAATGAAGAAATAGGAACTTCTTTAGAAATAAAATAAAGGTGAATGTTAATTTTCTCCAAAATTCATAAAATTTAGTACTTGGAGCCAAGAAAGTTGTGTAGGAGGCGGGCGCCGTAATAAGAAATTCTTTATTATCTTCCAAGTTGGAAGTTGGCTTATACGAGCAGGGCACACCGAATTTCATCGAATTTTTTATTTTTTTTTTTTAATCTGCGCCTGTTTTTCTAGAATGACTGGACGATAATGTAAACAGATTTTGACGATCTTTCAGATTTATGTTTTTCTCGTTAAAACCATAACACTTAATATTTCCGCTCACAAGAGCTGTGGGCGTGGTAGCGCGTTTACAATTTTCCACATTTCTTCATTCCTAAGATCCAAATAGCGCATATACGAAGTTTCAGTCAATTTCTAGTACAGTTAGTACTTTTGGCCGTAGCTTATATGGGGACGTCCCACTGTGCGTCGTCGTTTATTGTGCAGAATGTCGAACGTCTATCTGCACAGCCAAGTGTTCCGCTACGATCATTCGACAGGCTTGAATGCCAAAGATCGTGGTGTTGTTGTAGCAGCATACAAATTCCACAAAGACTTTTTGGGGAGTGTTGCTGGAGTGACAGTCCTTGGCCAGATATAAATCTGGGTCGTTCCGGTTACGTAGACCCGACTGTCGTGGGAACGTTGCGTTGCGTAAGCCTTCTTATTCATTGCTCTCCACCGCACTAGTACTCCGGGAAATAATCTTTTTACATGCGTAAAGAGCACGCAACGCAGTATTTCTCCCAGGTATTTCGTGTGATTTATATATTTTAAAGTCGTGCCCCCAAATGAGGATTCCTCCACTCCTGAATAATAAAATTAAACTCTCTGGTGAAGAGCACTATGTAAGTTTTGTCCGGATTTACACGGTAGCCTATTTCCTAGGAGCAGTTGTGAATAATGCGAACGATAAATTTTTCATCAAACCTTACCCTGGTTTCATACATTGTCGAGGAGTTATTGTGTTCTTGTTATATACATATAATTACTAAACAATGCGAAAACAGAGTTGAAAAAAAAATCCTTATAAGATACAACAACAAATGACGTTATGGATTTTTGGGACGTCCCCCTCATAGGAGTTAGAAAAAGTATGCAACGATTTTGTAAATGGGAAATAAGTTCGGGATTTTTTTCTATTGTAAGATGGTTGTTATTATCCTTACAGACCACAAAACCTTGAGCCTGATGCCTTCTACAAAAATTGTATGCGTTGCGGTCGCATACTTCTTGAACCCGGATATCAGAAATGGCGTTGGACAGGTTTCAATTTCGGCTTGGACCTCGTATTAGTTGCTGACTCACGCCTGCTCAGCATACGCCGACATCATCGCAATGAACATGAACGTTTACTCAGTCTTCAAACTAAGAGGCAATTTATGATACGGTAAAAAGAAAAATCTAATTTCAAATTTTAGTGTTTTTATTGCACATAAACAAAAAAAAACATTCAATTATTTTACAGCACATCCGTAACATCTATAAATTCACAGCGGCAGCCCGTATTTACTCAAAAAACCGAGATTACCTCACTCAGCTTGGAAAAGAATCAAGAAGTGACGATAATGCTTATGGACACGAAGCTGGTGCACCCGCTGCTCATATCGGTGAATCTCTTGGTGGTACCACCGACGTCGCAACTATTTAAGCATCATGTGCTCAACAACGAAGATATGGCTAATTCAGCAGTTCCTATTTCGGAAATTGGTGCCAACTGCAATCCTGCTGGTGATGCAGCATCTTTGCAACGACCAAGCACACCAATAAATGCAACCACTTCGGGCGACCGGATGATAACGGCAGCAGATGATTCAGCAGTGTGCGTTGTACCACCTTCGCCACCAAATGCACCATCAGTGCCAAGACTGCCGCCAACACATCGAGCTGCTTCTACAACTTCCACTGTGTCAACGGCTTCTTCAGTAGCGTCTGTGGTGTCGGCGGCATCGTCATCGGCGTCGGACTTTGTATAATATTTTAACAGAGTCAAGGAGCTTGTTTCCTCATAAGTTATGGATGGATACGTCTTATACGTTCCACTAAAAAAATCGTGTGTTCATATTTTGCTTTCGTTTAAGAATTATTTTTACACATATTTACCATGAATTTTGCTATATGTACATACATATGTAAATGTCTACATAATATTGTTCTAAAGACTTTTGAGAATTTGTAATTTAATTATTAATTCATGCTAAAATTATGCACAAAAATCAACATTTTATTTAAAAGAAATTCATGGAAAAACCTGTCGGCTTATTAACGCGTTGAAATCTTAAAATTCGTTTGCTCCTGTTATGTATTTGATTTTGAAAAATTTGTTATAACATGTAATTACCGAATATTATGCAAATGATTTTTTAAATTTCTGTAAATTTATAACAATTTCTGCATTTAGCTTAGAAAGTACATAATTATATATCTCGGTTTGAATAAATCGAATTCGTTTCGCTGGAATTGCACCTATAGCAAGCGTGGCAATTCTTACAGAATTAAAATATATATATATCTAATGTAAATATATTTATACTTGAGTCGAAGAAATTCATATGAATATATAAAATATATCTATAAAAAACCTATCAATATATGCTAACTCTTTTTCTACTATTTAACAAGCAAGTTTTAAGCAAGAAATACAACTGACTTCAATGCTCATATAAAACTTTAGTATAGACCACACCCTGGGTACCACCTTTCCGATCAAAATGAATATTCGAAAACGGTCCACGTGGTCTAGAGTTATCCGGTAAAACACATTAAAAAATTCCGATAAATTAATAACCTTCCTTTTTTTTTGAAGTCGGTTAAAAACATATACACATATGTATGTACACTTATGTTATCGCACAAATAATATATGAAACAATCTTTGAAAATAATGGATTATAAATGTTATAATTTCTGGCTGTAATAAAAAATTAGATTTAAAATTACAAAGGTCTTCTAAATACATGAACATGTTCTGATTCATCGGGATATTCACATTAAGCCTGCGACCAAAAATCACCGAGCTACAAAAGAACACTCGCTTAAATGACGAAATACACGCAAAGCAACAACACAAACTTGGCTATTTATCTGAGTTCAGCCTGGTCGGTTAAAAAATACGCGAACTGAAGGGTAGTGTTGTTAAGTGAAAAAAGTGTTGTATTGTTAATTGTTAATGGGGAAACTGGAGAGGGAAATTTTTGTTTCCTTATATACGTGACTTATATTTTAAATAAGTGTATATATTACGCCAATACCTCGCATAATCACTCATTTCAATTGGTTTTTGTATCTAAATGCCGTTAAACTAATCACATTTTTCTTTGCAGTTTGTAGATAGGATCGAGAACAAAATGAAAATAGGTTTCTTATACTTCCTAAACCCTCCATTTTTATACCCGAGCGCACTTGTGCAGGGTATTATGACTTTGTTCACATAACGGTTGTTTGTAACAGGCAAAACGGATCGAGATAGATATAGACAAATGATCCGAATGAAAAGAGAAATCGATTAAGCGTCCGTCTGTCTGAGATATCTTAACGAAACTTTGTACGTGCACTTCTTTCGAGCGTAGGACGTATGGTATTGAAAATCGGACAATAACCACGCCTACCTCCCATGTAACGGTAATTTTCAGAAATACGAAAACTGCGATATTTTAGTAACTACTGAAAATTATTCACTCAAAATTGATATTTACAATAATTTTTAGACGAAAAATAAGAATATTATAAATTTTTGGAAAATGGGCGTAGCCACGCGCACTTATGGTTATCTTGGTAACCGCTGCACTAATTTCTTCCAAACTTGGCACAGTTTTTAGCCTTGCTACTGCATACCAAATGACCGAAAATTTTAAAAATCGGACAATAACCACGTCCTCATCCCATATAGCGGTAATTTGGAGAAATACGAAATCTTCGATAAATCAGTAAATATTAAAGATAATTTATTCAAAATTGATGCTTGGAACAATTCTTTATCAAGAAATATGTGTATGATAAAATTTTGGAAAATGGGCGTGGCACCGCCCACTTACGATCACATATACATATGTATCTCGGTAACCGTTCTACCAATTTGTACCAAATTCGGTATGGTTATTGTGCTTGCCACATAAAAGCAAAACGTTAAAAATATTGAAATCGGACTAAAATTGAGGCCGCTTATCATATAACGGAAAATTTCAGAAATGCTTGAAACTTCAATAATTCGAAATTGAAGGACGCTAATTTACGCAAAATTGATACACCCCGGCTTACCATGTAGCGGTAGCTTCGGAAAGGTAAAAATCATATATTTAATACTTGCGCCGGGTATTTAATGTTCGGCTCCGCCCGAACTTGGACTTTCCTACTTGTTTATATATATAAAAAAAAAAAAATTTTTTTCGTACTTGATGCACTTACCTATTTATTAAATGCTTTGACTATTTTTCATCCTGTTTTCAAATCAAAAATTGTTCTTGGCATCCTTAAGCACCATATTGAAAATTTTCAAAATCGGACAGCAACCGCTCCCCCTGAAATATCGTTAACTTTGAGTGTTTTTAATTAGCGATATGCCGATGGAGCGTGTGGTTTTTGTCCGATTTCGAAGCGTATCGAAAATTTCACGTCATTGCCTAAAATTTCCACTCGACTAATGGCGTTAAAACTGAAAAACATGGCAGCACTGTATAGTTTTCGACGATTTTCGTCGTTTACTTATTTCAGCACGACAGTAGGCAATGCCAATATTAGCGAGTCGNAACTGAAAAACATGGCAGCACTGTATAGTTTTCGACGATTTTCGTCGTTTTCTTATTTCAGCACGACAGTAGGCAATGCCAATATTAGCGAGTCATACAATATCGATATCGATGAAGTAGTTTTTGAGATACACTCACATACCTATGTGATATAAGGTGCCACGCCGATTTTCCTAAAATTGTATCAAAAACATTTTTTTTGCTAAAGACCCATTCAGGGCTATCAGTGAACCCATCGTAGTCCGTTTTCTCGTGAAATCTACGAAAATGTTATTACTAAATTCGAATATTTTAAATGCACTAAAACAAGTCTTATATAACGCAAATATTCGTTTATTTAAAAGTCTGTTAATGGTAGAGCATAAATATTAAAATTTCCAATTATTTTTCAAGCTAAGTTACAAACATATATAACAATCGATAGGCTAATTCATCTTAACGCGTAAATGCCTCGTATCAATGTAAGTTAACATATGTACTGGAATTTGCTTCCACACACTTGACACCAGCAACAATAGCAGCAGCAACTGGCCAGGAGTAGCAAATGTTTAAGAGAGTTTAAGTTTATTAGTCTTTCGAATATATTTTGATATAAAATATATTTAAGAAATTTGTCTACAGATTCATTAAAAAGTTCCGACCATCTAAAGAGGCGTTTATGAGCCAAATCTATTTAAAATATTTTAAAACTATCAACAGCGATGCGATTTTGTTCTCAGAGATCGTGCCAACAGAGTATTGGGATTTTCTTTCACAAGTAAAACCAGCCTTTCGAGCTTGTGTTTAGTATTCACGATGTTAGAACTGCACGAAATTAATAAAAATTGTTTAAAATTAGTGTCTAGCCGCCAAAATGTAAGAAAACATATACAAAATCACACATTTTTCACAATTTTCTAACACTTCGCTACACCAACGAAAGCAAAATTCTGGTCGACAGAAAATTCGATACTCCACGAAAATTTCGACACGCTTGCATAGCTCATAATACAAATTTCACTTTCGATCTTCGATAGCCAGCGAAGATCGAAAATCGAATGCAGCTCATAATAAGGGCCTTAAATTTGTGGCTGGAGTGCCCGACCATCAAGACTTACAAATTTATACGGTTACCGAAAATGAAACTATAAGGGCTGGAAATAGACAAATAGAAATAAAAAAGAAATTCAAGAAAACAATTGATGAAATAACAGACGAATTAATAATATCAATACTATAAATGCAATTGATTATGAAGTGGGTCACTCTGCATATGGCACGAAGAAAGAGAATAGTTGTTGCTAATATAAAAAAAAAACATTTTATATGGTGTAACTTTAGCAAAATATAATATCGTAGACCCACTAATTTTAAATTCAGAAGAAATCAGTTTGATAGAATTCAAGGAAAACACACTTGTTCCTATGTCCGATATTATTACAATTTCAGATGTGAAAATTTATTACCAAAACGATGCCCTGATTTATCTTGAAAAATTCCTCAAATAAAAAAAATTTGCAAATTATATCAAATAATCCCTGTGGCACGAAATAACAAAATGTTGTATTTAAAGAATAATTTAACTGGAACCCTGTTAATTACATTTGAAAAATCTCTTACGATAAATGGAGAGAAATACAAAGCAAATCATCAGATCGATATTATTGAGCTCCTAGCTCCTAAGAAAACTATTTCAATTGAGACAAGTCAACAAAGACACCTATCATTGCCATTCCTTCATAAACTGCATATTCGAAATAACGAGCGAATGGAAGAGATAAAAGTCGTTCTTGAAAATAGAAAATGGATGTGGTATGGCGTAATTTCAATACTCACAGCAATCATAATAATAGTATTGTTATCAAAATAAAAACTTATACTGACCAGCCTCAACATAATTTGTCAACGATGGACATTGCCAAAAGCAGAGAAGATATTAGAGCCCGCTTGGAAGCAATTGTGTGTGAGGGCAACCGCATTTGAAGGGGAGGGTAGTTAACATATGTAGTGGAATTTGCTTCCACACACTTGAAACCAGCAACAATAGCGGCAGCAGCAGCAGCAAATGCAGAAACGTGGGAACGAATGCATGTACTTAGTAAAGTACTTAGAAATGCAGCGTCAACAATTTAGCTTTAAGAAATTAGAAAATAAGAAATATAGTTAAGAAATAGCATAGGTAGATTAGAATATGAATATTCAAATAAAGGTAGTGTGGATTTGACAAACAAAACCAACTTGTACACATCTTACTTAATTTTGTATGGAAAATCGGTTTATTTACGAGGTTTACGCGCTTACGAGGCATTTACGTGTTTCCATGAATACTCATAATAAGTTTTACGCGGGCTATCAGTAAAGTTACTTTCAACTATCTTACTGTGTCTCAATTTAGTAATTAAAGCGTGGAAAAATTACACCTACTTTTACATAGGCACAATGTATACAATGTGCAAGTGTTTAATACTTTCTTCGTTTATTCAATGACTAACTAGAAATTCACTCCACGCGTTTATATTAATTACGCCGATTTGCATACATCTGTACGCAAGTAATAGACTTCGCATTTTATCGCTACGCAGCTTTAACAATTAATAATTTGTCATTCGAGCAGAAAGGGTTTATCGGTTGCTTACTTTTTTTCAAGATAAATATAATTCCTTTAATGATTTAGTAATAGAACAACTCAGGAAAATTGGTCTCATAAACAGGTTTTTCTGCTTGCAGCTGTTGTATTTTGATGTCGCTTTGCGTTATCTGACGCTCCACTGCCAATGAGTTGAAAAGATCGTTTAGTCGATTTTGAATAAGATCATGCTAACAAAAATCGAAAATTAAAACTAGAATATTTAAGTTTGACGAGAATGCTGCTGTGCACTTACTTTGGGTTCAGTGCGTCGTACTAAATCCTCAAACTTATCCTCTCGGAATGTGCGGACAATCTGCAATTGTTTCTCTCGCTGCTCGCGCTTCATCGCGTCTGATGGTTCTGCCAATGCCCGTTTCATGGCTTCAAAATTGTATTCTGGTGCAAGTGTTTTCTAAAATTTCAAGAATTAGGCACTTTGTATATTTTGTATTACGGGGGAGCTAACCTTTGAGACACCCGGTGAACTGGTAACACTGATCACCATCAGCATTGTATGCCGTCAAGTCTGCAGAGCTATTGCGCTGAGGTAACTGTGGGTTGCTGACTGTGTCAACCCAAGAATGTCGGTGCGCAGGATTATCGCTTTGATTCAGAGCATACGGAGTGCCGGTTTGTAGGCGATTGGAGTCCATGCCAGCATTTTGAAGATTTTCGGCTAGAGCTATTTTATCAATTGCCAAGTGTGGTAGATATAAATTCATTTTCGTAGTTGTAGTCTTCTTGGGGTCAAGTAAGGGCGGCAAGAAATATGGAGCCTCCTCCTTTCTGGCATCGATTATCTTTTGGGTGTATTCGAGCAAGTTATTAACGCCTGTAACGCGAGAAATCAAAGACATCAAAGCGATTGCAATACAGTGCAAATTGCATTTGTGTACTGTTTCTAATTCCAAATCAGCTGTAAGAGCGACCTGTTGAATTCTGGAGAAATATAATAGAACCGATATTTATTAAAACAGGGCTAGCATCAAAGATATTTTTTATATAAGTATGTATATAAATATTAGGGCGGGTGTTTTTCTTTTACTAAGCGCGTATATCAGAAGGATTATACGTGTAAGTCTAAGCGAATTTTCCGAAAAATCAATTTGGAGTAATGGCGGCTTTTGACATTTATTCTTCTTCTTCTGCTAGTAAAAATTTCACTAGCAAGAATTTGCAGCTCTTCCGTGTTGTTACGCTCTCGATTCAGTGCTTTCTTACAAATTTTTTGGGTTATCATACACTTTTCCAGTAAAAAATTTGCAGGTTCCAGTACAAATTAGTACTGACTATAGGTTACTATACAAACCTAATGTGGAAATTTCATCGTTCATTTTTATGAGGGAGAAAACCGCAGTCTTCGGCAAAATAAATTCTAAAAAATCCATGGTAATTTTTAGCGATTTGAAACTTGCACATAACATTGAAATAGAATGGGCTCTAAAACTGTATACTCAAAAAAACTTTAAGGCACTCCGCACATTACGCAACTAATCATAGTAGAGTAATCGTGTTGTCATGCCGAAACGAATGCATGACGACTCGACTTCTGCACAAGCCCGGCTGNAAAACTTTAAGGCACTCCGCACATTACGCAACTAATCATAGTAGAGTAATCGTGTTGTCATGCCGAAACGAATGCATGACGACTTTACTTCTGCACAAGCCCGGCTGGCACACACATTACACATTTTCTGGGCGGCCTTTCTCACTAATACACTTCCACGAATATTTCTGCAATAAAATAATCATAATATACAGAGCTTCATTGAAATACATTTGTTCGCAACAAAAGGTTCATACTTTAGTATGCCGAAACTATTACACTGACTAGGCGCTTAATGTGCGGAGTGCCTAACACTTGATGAAGATTTATTTTTTCAGGTTTCTACAAAGCCTTAAGCTTGGAGAGCATGAACTGTAATTTGTTTGAAAATTATTAAAAACAAATAAATATTCATAAGTGCCAAACATTAGCACCATGAAATGGGGCTGCTATAGATATGGCCGATACTGTAATTCAATGAACATTAAAAAAGAAAAAAAAAAACAGTGAAAACTTGCTGAAACTTCGCGCACATATTGTAATCGTCGTTTAAAGTACAAAACCGCGTACCAACAAAATGCAAAACCGCTATGTGAGGTTGCATTCATTATTTTCTAGAGATTAAAAACACTCATATTTCAAAATGGTTTTCTTCTTTATAAAGCAATCGCATTTCTGGCTAATATATTTCAGGACGAATGGATAAGGATTGAGCCAAGAGCTTGTGTGAGCAATCCAATTTTTCGCAGCAAATGTCAGTTATGCGGTTTTGCAGAATGACGATACGCGGTTTTGTACTTTAAACGTCGATATGTATGTTTGTACCGTTGTGGTCAGCTGATTAAGTTAAGTGATTTTGACCAGTTTTGGCTATTTTTCTTTTGTTCATTTGATGTTTATATTTTTTTATAAAGTCTAGCACATTACATAATAAGCACCACATGAACCCATATTTCAAACTTCAAACAAAAATTTAACACACTTTAACTATTCTTCATGCGTAGGCGGCCTTCGGCCGCGCTTAGAGATTATAACCCTTACTACTCAGAATTCTCCTTTCTGTGTTGCCAGAGAAGTGAGACAGAACTTCTTTCGGCGTAGTTTTTACCGTGGCGTGTGTAAGTAGACACTCGCTTAACTATTACAACCAAACTTTTTAAAATTTTTATTCAGTTTTATAGCCCATCAAATTTTAGTATGATAAAGTGCAAATTTCTATTCGCTAGAAAATAGCGTTGATTTTAAAATTTTTTTTTTGCTGACGGTGCTAGGCATTTACTTCTATACAAAACCAATTGTCGAGCATACATTAGCTCTGATCCAGTACTTCATGAACTTAAGGATTTTACACGAACTTGCAGGATGTTGCAGGAAAAATGTTCCCGTACTCCAAAATCCTGTAAATGAGAGCGACTTTTGGAGAGTTGTGTAGAGAATGAAGTTGCAAGATTTTACCCGAACTTTTTCTTCTAATAAAATCATGAAAAGTGTCAAGCAATCACTGGTGGACGTTTTTACAGGAAAAATGGTTTTTTGTTCCCGTACTTTTTGTTGTTACTCACTCTCACTTCAGAGAGTAATTTTGCTGTTTGACAGTTTTACAGGATTTTTCACGAAAATTATTGGATCAGAGCTCTTAGTATATGGAATATAATGCACAACAATCCTATGCCTTGTTGAAGTATTATCAGCCTCATTGCGTAAGTCGTAAGTTGGGCTACATTGTACGACTCGACAACATTGGCATTGTCTACTGTCGCGCCGAAATAAGTAAACGACGAAAATCGTCGAAAACCATACAGCGCTGCCAAGTTTTTCCGTTTTAATACGCTAGTCGAGTGGAAATTTTAGACAATGACGTGAAATTTTCGAAAGGATTCGACTCTCGAAAAAACTACTGCATTCGACACGACTCTCGCAATGAGGATGAATATCACTAAAAAGTCGAATAAATAGTTTATGATTACAACTCTTAGATAATACTTCATCATACACACCCGAGAATGAATAACAAAAATTCTTGTACGGTCTCTCCGCACGCCATTTCGACTATAAGTAAAGCTGCTGTGTTATAGCTGGATATAAGCGATTCAACCCGATCAGATAGAGCCATGCTATCGATTAGTGCCTGCATTATATTAGCACCGTATTTATGCGTGAAAATTATATCAGAGCGCGATGGTGGCTCTTGTGACAATGCCGGGTAAGTCTTGACAGTCACGTGACTAAGCACCTTTTCGTTTTGGTGACGATCAAGTAGCGCCTGGAAGATCTGCATGACGATAACACGCGTTGGATCATGCGGTGCACGTGCCATCTTCAGTAAGGGTTGTAGAAATGAAGCTGGAAACGCCTTTTCGAATGAAACCGTGCTGTACTGGGTGCCCACCTTCAGGAGCGATTTTAAAAGTATATTCTGAAGCATTTGATCGCCTTTGCTTTTCTTTGAAAGATCTGGCACCGTATTCATAATAAACAGCATTATTTCTATTTTCTGGTAGTCTGGATGATGATTTGCAAATTCACCGAGTGCATTTATGAGTGCTTCTTGGTACTGAGATTCTTCGGTGGTAATTTCGGTCGTTGTGCTAACGCTGGTACGCAAATGGGTAAGCAAATTATTAATAATATCTAATGCAGAAGGGCCAACACTTTCGCCAGCGGCAATAGCGATTATCTTAGAGAGCACTACAGCCAGTGAAGTGCGTGTTTTCGGTGAGGATTTGAAATTGTTGTCCAAGTGTTGCATCAGCGTCTCTACTACTGTGTATGAGTACTGCGGCTGTATGGAAATCATCACAATTCGAAATGTGTGTATAGCGAAAGTATTTGGGACCCATAACTCATGTCGGTCTAGATGGCTGTACAGAAAAGAAAATATTTTAGTTAACATAAGAAAGATTTATGCATTTACATACGTAAGTAGTGGTTTGAGTACACTTCGAATATGGCCAAAAGATGCGCGCCCAACCAATTCGCGTAATACTTCTTCGGCCAGAACTGGTGGTGTAACATGTGTAGCATCTTCCACAGGTGTTAAATTACCCGACTGCCAAATTTACAAAATCTTAGACCATTATTTTGAAAGATACATATACATATAACAGTCAATAATAAAGTTTAGGTACAGCGAATTTTTTACAATACGGGCAACTATTTTTTAAATATTTTATTTTTTGATAATTTTTTATAAAAATGTGGTTAATTCTACAACAAAAAACTCGAAAATCAGAGTTCCAAACCTTCTGCAAAATTAAAGAAAATTCTGCAAAATGTCATTCAAATATTGCACTTTTTATTTACGCTCTCTAGAAAAAAGTTGAGTATACAGTTTTTTAGCCCATTCAATTTTAGTATAATAAAGTGCAGTTTGAGGTAGATAGGACTTACTATTGATTTTTTAGCAATGTTGAAGGTGTCGCTCATTTTCTCCATATAAAATAATGTTTGATAATTTTTTTATATGGAAAAAATGTGCGACATCTTCACCAAAAAAATTTCCCAAAAATCAATGGTAAGTCCTAGCTTCCTCATACTTGCATTTTATTATACTAAAATTGAATGGGCTAAAAAACTACATACTCAACTTTTTTCTAGAGAGCGTAATAAAAAGTGCAATGTTTGAATGAAATTTTGCATAATTTTCTTTAATTTTGCACAAGGTTTGGAACTTGAATTTTTGGGGTTTTTGTTGTAGAATTAACCATATTTTTATAAAAAAATTAGCGAAAAATAAAATATTTAAAAAATAGTTGCCCGTATTGTAAAAAATTCGCTGTACCTAAACTTTATTGGTTGACTGTATGTATATACATATATACATATTTGCAAGAACAGTATATGAAAATCGAATACATATTTCAATAAATTATGTAAAACGGTACACATATCTATTAAAAATCTAAATTATTATAATTGTAATGAAAACGTTTGTTACCGCTATTAAATTTTTCTTCACAAACAAAACGTTCACGCAAAACTTTTCAGCGGCATTAATTTTCCAAAATTAAGAAAACGGGATTTTTATTAAACGAGGAATTTAAGCAAAATACAAAAGAAACATGCACTTCATTAAGATTGCATGGCTCACCTGCATATTGAACAACAGCGATGGTACAATTTTTTCCATATGCACCTTGTCCCAAATATTCTCTACCAAGTCATCGGAAACGGTCTTTCGTATTACACCTTGCAGTCCCTTAATACCAGCTAAACGTATACTATCTCGCAGTTCGATATTGTCATGGTTACCGTGACACATGGCCGAGAACTTTGATATAAAGAAGTCATAGCGACGATGGTACGATGGTGTGTCCTCATTTATATTTGCAAACTTTACAAACTGAAAAAGGAAAATCGTAAAACATAATATTAAAGAATTAATTATCTAAACATTTTTTTGGGATATAGTGTGTATCTTAATGCGCTCAGAAAGCATCAAATTAAATAAGCATTCCACCATAGCATTATATCCTCGCAATTTTTGTCCATCATTTGTAATTTTTTGTATGGGTGGTTGTTGTAATAGTATACAAATTCTTCAGCTTATTTGGGGAATGATGCTGGACTGACAGTCCTTGGCCAGATATGAACCTGGGACGTCCCTGTTACGTAGATCGACTGTCGTTCCGGTAACGTAGACGAGACTGTCGAGGGAGAGCTCAATACCCTAATTGTTTCTGTTTCTTTATTTCTAATGCAAATATGATCTTGGGAAGCTGTGAACGCAATCTAAGATTTAGCACATCTCGCACATCTGAGCACAGAATAATTAAAAACAATTAATTAGGAATAAAATTATTATTTTCTTAATGTTGAAATGTTAAGAGTTAATGGCCGGGACTCTTAGTTTAACATATCGCTATGTTGTTCCTCCAGGTTCTCTTCAAAATGAAAAGTTAAAAATAATAAGATTTATGCAAAGAGGACTCCGATAGTTATTTTTGCACCAAATTAGTTGAATGATTGTCTTACCGAATTTGTTGCCATTATTTGCAGATTAGGATTGGTATCCTCCAGTAATTTCTGTACCATACGCAAAAATGATTCCACAAATAAGTTCAACGTTGTTTGTGCATGACACGCTTGCAGAAGTAAATCCATCGCCTCCATAGCAATTTCTACAAATCTATTTAAGCAGAAATATTGAAATTTTTTAATACTCTTCATTGGGATAAAATACCTACTTATAACGCTTGCGATTTATGTCTTTGCTTGCTTTCTGATAAAGATATTCACCAATTCGATCTAGCTTATCTGGTGAACTTAATGAATAGAATGTTAGCTTCTCCATGTTGGATTTGACAAGACCATCTTCGGGATTTACGGGAAAAATATTATCCACCAGTCGTTTGTAGCGCGGACGAAGCGCCGAGCAACAGCCGCAGCAACCTAAAGGGACAAAGCAAAAAACGCAGCCGTGAAATGAGCACGAACAAATTGAAGAATTCTCCGAAGGTTGCGGAAATATTATACGTAAACAGCGATAACTGAACATTTGAATGGACTTTGATGGACGTTCAGTAGCAAACAAGTACGTGGGAAACGTATCAATTAAATCGATGCGTCTGAGGCTAATAACGGATAAGTTAAAAGACAAATAGTGAATATTTGAGACGGCTATTATTGCCATTGTCATAATCAGCCTTGTCAAAACCTTATCGCGATTATTGTACACATATGTATTTAAGATAAGGAGAACCCTGAAGCAAGAATTTAATCACCTACCAGACATGTTTTTTCACTACAATCTCTATTGAAAACTGTGTCGTTTACAACAAACAAACTTAAAAATTGAATCCAATAATTATCAAATCGAAAATACCACAAATAGTTCCCAACCCGTAATATACTTTATTCTAGGTATGCAGAAAAAATGTCGATGCATCAGAAACATCGATGTTTACTTTTCGATGCATCGAATAAAACTGATGTTTTGGACCTTCCGATATATATCGATATATCGATGTATTTTTTCGATATATCGACTTTTGTGTACAATTGTATACATTAATGTACACTGTATACATGAACCACGGTGCAGCGAACAAAGGCTGCCGTCAGTGGTACCGCTATTTTGGTTTTGCCGATTTTTACAGTTGTGGTAACTTGTAAATAAACCTTTGTTTACAAATCAGCGAAAGAGAAATTTGAATTATAAGTGAAAAATCAGTTTAAATTGTGTTAATTTGCAATTTGTGAGCGATTTTTGAGTTGGAGACTGCCTAAAAACTAATAGAATGAAGTGCTGTGTGTTAAATTGCGACAGCCGCCAAGATGCAAGAAGCGTAGATGCAAGTGTAGCGCTAGGACGAATCTCTGCATTTTGTGTACATAGGGCACGGCAAAGCCGTTCCCGTAATGTTTCTCTATTATTATATTAAAAGCATTTCCTGACAATGATTTTGTTTCTGCCCCACGCAGCCTCCATTAGCAAGTTAACTAATCAATCCAGCAGAGATGCTGCTGCAGTTTTCCGCAGCAGCCTTAATTGCAAAGCAATGGAGTGCACTAAAATGTTCACTGTTCTCTTATAAACTAGGTGAAAAATGCAATATTTTGGCATTTAGCAAAATTAAAACACGTTTTTCGCTGTATAGTGAACTGCTTTGGTAGTTTCAACTCCTCGTTCTTCTTTTCGCTCTATTCTTTGTTTACTTGTGATATACAAATGTCAACGCCCAGGACGGCGCAATCTTGTATTGTATCATTCTTGCACATGAACCAATTAGAACAGATCTGACCGGTTGAGAAGCAGCCATTTGTTATAGCAATTGAGAAAAAAGTGTGTGACGTTCGTAATTTTGAAGTTTGCTATTTCTGTTTTGCTTCTTTCTTTATGTGCATTTTGTCAGTGGTTTATTTCAGTGATTTTTAAGCGATTTTCAATAAATTTTTTGTGCAAATGTAATTAAAATGAAGTGCACGGTGATTGGTTGCAGAAACACGTACAAAATAATAAATTGATTAGCACAAACATGTGCTGCAAAATTGCTTGCATTTTTTTCTTTATGCTTCGTCTTCATATTCTTTGTTTACTTTTCAAAGAAAATAACATGGCGCCGAAATAACAAACGTCAGCCAGAAAATTACTTTTTTTCTTTTGCATCATCTTGTCAGATCTTGTGTAGTTGGATTATGCAGTGTACATATTCTAATTATTTTGTATGCTTCCAAACTCTTAGCTTTAGTAACTATTCTATATGTGGAAATTTCACTATTTATACACTATCCTTACTAATATTATAAATCCGAAAGTGAGTTTGTTTATTTTTTACACTTTCACGCTTTAACTACTCAATCGAATCCCATTAAAGTGTGTACACTGGTACCATTTAGCCAACTTAAAACACACAAACGGAATTTTCATACCACATATCATATCTCAGAAAATATTTTTTATGGAGTACAGGAACTTGGTATAGATACATATTTGTATATAAAATCAATTCCATACTCCCAGAGGAGGACTTCCATCTGTTTAAAAACTAAAATTTGACTTGAATTAAAGGATTTATTTATTTTTCTTTTTATTTTTTTTCTCAAATTAGTTACCACTCATAAGGGTGTCAAGGAAAAAATAATGATAATAAATTACCAAATAAGGGTACCGAAATAGAATCTCATTGCTAGCTGGCACACTTTAAATTACTTTACTATGCTTATTGTCGCCAATTCAGTACCTTCCGAAAACTGTATTCGAAAGTTTCCCAAAAAACAAAAAAAAGGTATTTGTAACTACTTAAATCAATAAATACATTTCACTGTGAGTTAATACTTAAACATTTATCGGAGCTCCGATTGTTTCATTTTCTTGTTGTATATTTTTAATTGAAAGAAACTGTTGATATTTTCATTCGATGCATCGAAAATATCGATGTTTTTATACGATATATTGATATGAACCGATGCTATAATTCGATGCATCGAATGGAAAAAAACATCGATGTACTTTTTTGATTTGCATCCCTACCAAGGCGAATTTATACAAGGTGGTGTTGATGGCGAATTTAGATTTCCGCCGCGGTACTTACTAATTACCACGTTTATACGTAAGCTATTTGCAAATACCTAACTCACTGTTTATTCGACGGTGAAAACTTTTTATTTAATATTGCCTGATTATAAAAAGGCAATAATATGACCATCGAAAAAGAAAATAAAATTAAAAATGGCAACGTCTTGAATATAATACCATGTTCTGACCGACATCGAAAACATGTTTTCGTTGCTAAAACTGGTTTTCGACTTAAAACTTGTGTTTTCGTCCATGTAAAATCTGTCAAACGAAAACCAGTCCTCGCTGAAAAATACTTGAGAACTCACGTTCCCCTCATTCCAATCAATGTCTTCACTATTTTTTTCGATTATTTATCGAAGTGGAAGTCATATTTTATCATTTTTAATACGCCATTTCGGATTTATTGTTAATTGGCTGGCAAAAGTAAAATAAGAATGAAAGTAAGAGGTTGCTAATGAAAAGAAAATGAGGGAAAAGCATTTTGGTTTTGGTTTTATGTAGCAAAACTGTAATCAGAGGATGTAAGAAATGTCAACTAAGATGTAACAGCCGGTGTGAACAGCTTTCAGCCCACAATTGCAAAACTCGCTTTCAAAGTGTTTTCGTTGTCGGTCAGAGCATGGTATAAAAAGGCAATAACATCGAAAAAGAAAATGAATGCAATGAACATCGAAAAAGAAAATAAGCCTAAGAATGGCGGCGTCTTGCGCTTATTTGCAAATAGTATCACTCATAAATACTTATTTGCGTGATTTAGTTATTTGCAAATAAAAAATTAACTCGGCGTTTATACGGCAAAGTTTACCATTTTGCAAATTGTTATTTGCAAATAAAAAATTAACTCGGCGTTTATACGGCAAAGTTTACCATTTTGCAAATTGTTATTTGCAAATAAAAAATTAACTCGGCGTTTATACGGCAAAGTTTACCATTTTGCAAATTGTTATTTGCAAATAAAAAATTAACTCGGCGTTTATACGGCAAAGTTTACCATTTTGCAAATTGTTATTTGCAAATAAAAAATTAACTCGGCGTTTATACGGCAAAGTTTACCATTTTGCAAATTGTTATTTGCAAATAAGACGTGTGTATAAACGTAGTACTAGTCAAAACTATGTGTTTGTTGTAAACCAGGCAATTCATATTACAACAAATACATCATTTTGACATTAGGAAGTACAGCGGCGAAAATATAAAATTCGCCATTAACACCACCAAGGCGAATTTATACAAGGTGGTAGCAAGAATACAACAAACAACAACTACATGTATTTTGTATCAGGGGCAAAATGTCAAATCTCAATTCGCCTCAAAGTTTATATGTATTTTGTTTTTGGTATTCAGGGGCATGCTGTCAAATCAGTAAAAGCAAAAACAAAATACATGTAGGGCGAAGGAAAGAAGAAAAAATCAGCAGATTGGACAACACCACCTTGTATAAATTCGCCTTGAACACCACCTTGTATAAATTCGCCTTGGTTGATGGCGAATTTAGATTTTCGCCGCGGTGCTTCCTAATAGGTGCTTTCCTTATCTTTTTGGACTAAAATCTGAAAAGTGTCAAAATGCCAGAGCGTAAGCAAAATGCGCTCACTAAAAGAGGATAACAGGAAAAGTAAAGGAACGCAAAAAACCAAATTTTTAGTCCAAAGAATGGCAACAACAAAGCTAACGTCAAATAAGAATGGAAATGTATGCACAAAACACATTCACACAAGCACAAGCACAATAAACACTTACTATATCAATAATTTTTTGCCTCCTTCCAATTTCAATTCAACTTTTTTTACTTTTTAGATTATTCTCACTTTTTGCGTATTCTTTAATTTCCGTTAATTTAAATTCAGTTGAGTTTGACACTTTTCAGGATTTTGCCAGAAAAAATTCTTTGACTAAATCTGACTACTTCGGACTGATGAGAGTCACTCTCACTGACTGTTGCTCTCTCATTTTTGCTGTCATTCCCGAGTTAAGGAACACTTTTTGGACTAAATATGACTACTTCGGACTTTTACTGACTATTTCTGGGAGATAAGGAACGCTCCTAATGCCTTGGTTATAATGGACGGGGCGAATCGTAGCAAATCGCGGCGAATTCGTAAGGATCTATTGATTTTAAATTGTTCCGCTTTACGTTACGTTACGTGCATTATAACCATTTGCATTCACCATACAAAAGATAATTAAGTTACAGTTCACTTCGTTCCGTTACTTCCATTATAACCCAGGCATAACTGCTCGTCTCCACAGGATAAAGTTTATATCTTGATACATATGTTAGAATATAAATAGCATATGGAGATCGCTCATTGCTCTACAACAGCAATATATATCAGAGCTTATATCTTACCATCTATTGCCGGCAATTTGGTAGTTTGACACCTACATTTTCATTTGCACGAAAACTTCGTGGCTGCAACATCATTAGTTGCATTCCAGACGCTTCACGATTTGTAGGTTTTTACAGGAAGTCGTTCCAGGTGACCACCTTACATAAGGTTTATTAATGGGGATTACAACTTTTCCTGCAAATCCTGCAAAACCTGCAAATCGTGAAGCATCTGGAACGCAACTATTATTATTTTAATATAAAAGCAAAAACTGAGTTGTTTCCTGTTCAAATATTTGTTATTATGTACTTGGATGTAAAAAAGCCTATTTTATTTATTTGTTATAAGTCATACGAAACAATTAATTTCTTACTGACTACAGAAAGGAATTGATTAGGAACTAGTTAAAGTAATTAGTTAAAAAAATTATACAGTAGGCTCCGGACAGCTCCAGACGACAGGGAGAAGTCCAAGTTAATAATATTATTTAATTCAGATAGAGTTCTTGGCATGGGAGCAAATTTAAGGTAGTCAAATTTAGGAAACTCAGTGTAAAACACAGGGACGTGTCGGAGATTCCGCGCAGGAATAAAGAAGTTTAGTTGCTCCAGTAGCGCAGGGCAGTCAACTGTATAATTTATCAAGTTATACACCAAGCTGCAAGAGAGAAAGGAAGATCTGGACTGTAAAGTTTTCAGGGATAAAAGATGACAACGGGATTCGTAAGGAGGTATAGGATCAGTAAAGTTTAAAGAACGGAGTGCAAACTTAATAAATATTTTTTGGATTCGCTCTATACGGTTAATTTGAGTTACGTGATACGGTCTCCAGATGAAGGCTGCGTAATCAATCCTAGATCTTACTAATGAAGTATATAGCATCTTGAGCGTGTATGGATGCGAGAAATCTGAACAGTTACGTCTTACAAAAGCAAGCGTAGCGTACGATTTCAAAACAACATAGTTGACGTGGATAGTAAATCGAAGTTTGGAATCAAAATATATACCAAGATTTTTGAAGTCTGTAACATGATCAAGGGTTGAGCCAGAAATTTTGTAACGGGCTATATTTTCTAGTGAATGTGGAATGAAAACACTTTTTTACATTCAGAAAAAGCCGATTCCGGGTGCACCACGAGTAAAGCTTATCAAGCTTAAGTTGTAGTGCGCAGGAGTCATGCAAGTTTCTAATCGTAGATTTTAAGGTCGTCGGCGTACAAAAGGAATTTTGAAGTTTGGAAGTAGGAGCTGACATCATTAATAAATAATGTAAATAGCAAAGGCCCCAGTATACTACCCTGGGGGACGCCTGACTGCGCGACGAATGGTTGCGAAGGTACGTTGTCAAAGGCAACTACGCACTGTCTGTTATATAAATAAGACCGATTCCACTGCAAAAAAGTGGAGTGGAAGCCCATATCCGATAATTTAGCCACTAAGATTTTATGGGTAACCCTATCGAAGGCTTTAGAGAAGTCAGTATAGATCGCATCAACCTGATCTCCATCCTGAAAGGCTGCAAAACAGTCTGCAGTAAAAACTGCATACAGTTGACCGGCCACTGACGAATCCATGTTGGTTTGGGCATATCAAGCTACGGACTGAGAATGACAACTTTGCTTTGATGACGCATTCGAAGATTTTAGAGACAGTGGACAATTTCGAAATCGGTCGATAATTGCTAACATCATTCTTATTGCCACTTTTAAAAATTGGGGTTATAGAAGCCTTTTCCAATCATTAATAAACTCCCCATTGGACAGAGACTTATTTAAAATTATCGTTAAGGGTTCGATTAAAAAAGGGACATTTTTTAAAAATAATGGCGGATAAGCCGTCAAGATCCATTTGTTTCGAGATTTTCAAAGACTGAATACCCTTTTCAACGTCTTCCGATGACAGAGTAACCGACCCAAATGATAGGGCAGAGTCGGAGACACAACTGCAGATGGAACTGCTGTCATAGTCCAGCTCGGTCACAAAGTTTGAGCAAAAATACTCAGTAAATAGATTTGCCGCCTCTTCAGGGGTATTCGCGAGCTTTTCTTTATAGAAAACCGATGAAGGTATATTCGAAGTAGCTTTCTTGGACTTAATATAGCTCCGAAACGTCTTAGGATTATTTTTGATGTTAGCTTCCTGATTACTTATATACTTTTTATAAAGATATTTGTCGAGATAATTAAACTCTTGTAGGTAAAATTTGTATAGATCGTAGTAAGCAGACGAGTTCGAAGCCTTGTATTTCTTATAGAATTTGTTTTTCCGATTTTTTAAATACTTTAGTTCTTTTGTAGACCAGGGCAAAGTGTAGGTCTTCCTGGGAAAAGTAGGAATGAGATCTAAGCACAACTCATAGACATAAGATTTAAAAGTTTTAAAAGCACTTGAAGTGTCTAAATTTGCGAGAAGGTCAGTCCAGTTATGACCCGTTAAAACTAAGTTCAAATGATCAAAGTCGCACAGATTATAATTTAACGTCGGCCTGAGACTGGAGCAGTATAAAATTCATAGGAATGTAGACTTAACACTAGAGGAATGTGGTTGACATTGCCTACGGATATAGGCGAGTTGCACTCAGTTAACTGATAGTTTAAATTACTGCTTAAGAATATCAAATCTAAAAGACGATTTAGCTTGTTAAAATAACTGTTAACTTGTAATAATCCAATACTTAAGAGACTATCTATCGAATACAGATCACTTTCGTCTGATGCGCTTAGAGGGGTTAGCCATAATGAGTTGTTCAGTTTACGCCATAATACAGAGCTCAAGTTGAAATCACCTAACACACATAGATGATGATCGCCTATTCTGGAACTAAGAGATACGACATTATACATGCTACTACTATTCGGCGGAATATATGATGCACACAGAAAAAGTCGGCTGCCCTATTCTGCATTTCGACTCGAATCGAAATTTTCTCCGTTTGGCAACTTTGGTATTCTGCATTCCGTTTCCTTTCGATCAATCTTCGAAATTTACGATTATACCTATTCTACATTTCGATCGTAGTTCCGTTTTTCTAAGTTGCAAATTTGTTGACGGAGAACGTTTCAATTGTTATTTTCGTGGGTTTAAATAATAAAATTTTATAAAAAATGTAAGTAAAATATACTGTGCATGATTGTAAAAGTCATCATAAATGAATTTTCTCGATTTCTATGTTTTCGCGAGCGGTAATACGGGCAATACGAAAAATTGGCTCAAATAATGGCAACCAAAAAGGATATTGCGCGACGTTTTCAAAGTGGAAGTCCAGGCGTTTTTGTTTACATTATCTATAAAAAAGACTGTGAAATGCACTGAATGCAATTTATTCTTTTTATATAAAATTAATAGAAGTATGCACATAGATACATACATACATAAAATGTGAAGGTTCATTAAAAATATGCTTTTATTATTGCACTCGTTTTTACTAACTTTTTAAAAAAGAGGTGCGTATATTGTCTCGAATTCGATTTGCTATGGAAAGATAAGCTTTGTTCTTCCCCTCCTCCTGACGGCTTTCAAAATGGGATTAATTTTCGTTCAAATCTTCCACTCTGTAGTAAATGCAAATGTTGTGGAGTGCTCAAACAACGTTTATAATTTCACTGACTCTAAAGGCCCGTTTACATACAACTTTGGCGTTGCGTTGGCGTTGGCGTCGCTTCGACAGCTGACTATGAATACATGCATTTATATCAAAGTCTCCATATAACCAAAGTTGGGCAACGCCAACGCCAACACAACGCAGAAAGATGGCCAACTCTCAACTTTTCGCGTGCGTCGTTCGTCAGCTGTTCTAAATAATCAAAATTATGTGATTTAATTTTCATTTTTAATCAAATCCGGGCACGAAATATAGTTTTTAATGCAATTATTGATGTAATTTTTTTATTTATCTGCCGCTAGTGTGTTAATTTAGTGACCAAAGTATTCTCTGCTACGCGTTCATTGTAGCAAGCACGGGCGTTACTCGCGCTGCTGTCAAAGCGACGCCAGCGCCAACGCAACGCCAAAGTTGTATGTGGACGGGCCTTAAGCGATGAGTAATACAGTTCAAGATTAATTCCTTATGACTCTTCACTCATCTGAAAAAGATCAAACATGTCCCTAAATCTCCGCCTTTCAACTTCCGCATCAGCAATCTCGTTCTTCTCTTCAAGCAATAACGCCGCGGCTATGGATGATGATTCTAGGTATATTTAGTTATTTTAAAATATTTACAAACTTTAATTTCATAAGCTGCTATAGTTTGGTGGCAAATATTTCTTTGTTTTGTTTCGATTTCACACATTCCTAGGCAAACAGCTGATTTCGAAAGATGTTTTCTCTCTTCCTCTTCTTCTTTCGTTTCGATCGTAACGCAGAATACCTAAGTTCGATTCCAGCGGAGCGGAATGCGGGAACGTAATCGAAATGCAGATAGGGCTGAATATTGTCCACTCAAGGTAGTTGTTTTGTAATTGTTAACAAATATACATTTGTCCCAACTATAAGTCTCAAGTAAATGGCAGACTTTCGTGAACTGGATATTTATTTCGCCATATCCAACTATGCCACTTGGTCACTATAACTAAATCTTGGTAATTATAACTACACCTTTTTCTGAGTGATAGAAAAATCAAATCTTTATACATTTCAATCAGATATTTTAATATCTTAAGCTGCCTTTACATGAGGCGATTTTCCAGGCGATTCAACATTGCTCTGAAAAAATCGCCTCTGTAAATGGTGATTCAAAAATCGCTTGCCTCAAAGTAGACAGCAAGTCAATTTTTGCAGGCGATTATCGCCTGTCAAAAAATCGCTTCATGTAAAGGCAGCTTTAGGCTCAAAACCTTTCGAGCCTCCTCTAGTATATGAGAATTCTTATAAATTTATAATAGCTTTGCGTTTATATTGATGAATGGAAACTTACATGTTGGATCGGTGCATTTCTGTACAAATGTGTCGAAAAATTCTGGCAGCTCAACTGGCTCGAAGCAGCAACGTATTAACGCCATTTATTGCGTGTTTCAGCCGGCGAAACAAATTTTTCCTTTAAATCTGTAAAACATTTTTTAGGGTTTTATAAGTTTTGTAATTTTAAATGTAGTAAAATCTCAATGTATGCATTGGCCCAATTTCAGATGGCCTACTAAAGCAGAGATTGTTGATTAACTTCCACTATTAATTTCCAGATCATACATTTAATCTGCACATAAATGGCCAATATTGGCTTTTAAATATGAGATATGTAACCCTGTGTTTGTACCAAACAACCAAGATTGATTGGTAGGTTGTTTAATCAATCCCACCTATTCCCAGCACAAAATGTAAACAAACAGGCAAATGCAGAAACAATTTCAAGGAACAAGCAGCAGTGCTACCAATTGTTTGGCATATTTAAACAAAGTTGATCTGAAGCCCAACAAAAGCTAAATGGCATTTAAAAAACAATGCAAAATTAAACTTAAGTGCCGTTTAAATATTCATTTGAAATTGGCCCTAAATGTAGGGCTGCCAGGCGTCCCGGTTTTCCCGGAAATGTCCCGGTTTTAGACTATTTGTCCCAATGTCCCGGTCCAACCTTAAAATGGCCCGGGTTTCGTTTTAGTGTCCCGGTTTTTGATTTGATTGCACAAATTTGAATAAAGTTCAAAAATCACTACACTAGGATAAAAAAGCGTTGTAATATTCAGAAAAATGTTATGAATTCACTGAAGGAAATAACGCATCGTAAACATGAATGTTTTCTATTTGATTATCGTTTAAAAATGTTCGTATTTAAAAATAATACTTTCATAACACGCACGCGTGGTGTTGACTCAAACTCAACATTTAAATGCACATTTACATGTCTGGCTGTAGCTGAGTGCGCGAAGATGGTTGCCACAATTTGCTAATTTCCAGAGCGTCAGGATTCAATTCCCATTAGAACCAGCATGGAATTTAAATATTTTTTAACTTAATTGTGAAATACAATCGGTAATTGCAAATCGCTTCATTTTAATAAGGGCGTATTTGGAATGAATATTTCTATACTAAATACTAAAATTTGTATACTTAAACGTATTACGAGTTGGGTTGGTGCTCTTTCATATGCGTATTTTTTTAATTCAGCACGCTTTTTTAATTCTAAACTTCTTTCTCTCAGTGCACCGGTTTCATTTGTGAAATAGTCACATTTCGAGATAGTTGAACTTTGCACAAGCAATAGTTGATGATTAGTATATGTACCTAAATACGTTGAAAATGACGTGCACAGAGTTTTACAATTATATTAAGGAAAAGACAGAAGTTTTGAAACAAGTTCACAGTAACGAAAAATATGACTGATATTTCAATATTATCTTGTACTTAAATTTTTTTCTTTCATGAAACCTAGAGCACTTATAAGTACAGTGCCGTACAAAATTATTGGCTCAAAGGCTCTTTCATCAGATCACAATTTTTAATCAGATCTTTTAGAAACATTTTGAAAATGTGGCTTTTGAGCCAATTAATAAAGTGCAAGTCTGAAGTTGCCAGCAAATTTCGTTGATTTTAGCATTTATTTTTTTTGTTGACAGTGTCTTCCATATAAAAAGAATTATCGAACATAGTTTGTATGGAAGAAACTCACAGTAAAAACAATACCAAAAATCAACTAAAATTTAATGGGCTGCAAAACTTCATTTTAAACATTTTTATAAAAAGTTTGATTAGAATGTTGCAAATTTTTATGCAAATTTATTGAATTTTCCCGAGTTTAGCAAAAAGTTTAACAATTTTATTTTTATGTTTTTTCATATATTTAGTATAAACTGCATTTTTATAAAGAATAAAAAAAGGTTCTTGCATTGTGAAAAATTCTCTGTGCTTTAGTTGTGATAAGTTGTTTTGTTTTGTACGTAGTAATGATCTCATGATCTCATGTTTTTATGTTTTTGTTTTTGTCTGTCAAAATAAAATTTCACTACATCCTTTCGCACGTCTAAAAGAAAGGGAAGGGAGTGAGAGGCCCTCCCTAAAGTGTCCCGGTTTGGCAACAGAGATATCTGGCAGCCCTACCTAAATGTGCAATTTCTGAATACATAATCAACCTGTTCTAGCAGTGGTATTATGACAATTGCTACGCAAAATTTTAGTCCCCGAAATTCTATAAGTGAACAGTGGAGGCTAACACTAGCCACACACGACGAACAAATTCTGGGTTTAGCCAAAAATGTTGGTGCATATTATTAGATAATGAATCCTTTAACGCAAAAGATAAAGGCAAGTATCATTTCGTTAATCTCAAACTCATCTATTTTCAGGAAAATTTTAATTGTTCTCTTGATAATTCCACTGGCCTATAGTCAAAAGATGTAAAGAACAACATTAATATTGCTGGCATGCATTTAGATCGCTAGTTCCAAATATTCTAATCCTTTTTTAATATTAGCTATAGTTTGCGAATTTTTGCAAATTTAGGAACAATATCGGTAGCTCTAATAGAATAGCCATTATTTTCCATCATCGCGGAAAAATTTTGTTTATGCAAATTAGTATGGGAACACTGAACAGGCACAACTTCTAGACACACTAATTGGTTTACTTATGTTTATGCATACAATATAAAAATTGCAAATATAAGAAAATGATAAAAAATTTTGTTCAAGATTTTTTTTATTTTAAATAATTTGTTTATAATCTGAACTATTTTAGTCATATTATTATCAAAAATCAGTAACATTAAGTCTCGCATTCAATTTGTTAATTATTACGCACCGATCGAGTAACATTTACTAAAGTTATATCGAAAAACTTAAGTGGATTTCCAGTTTTTTTCTAAAAAAATGTCTCTTCAATTGTATAAATAACCTTTAAATAAAAGAACCGGATTACAGAAAACTGTGCAAGTGAGTGACTTTTTTCGTTCAAGCTGAATGCAAAGCAATATCGTCCAATTGGAGAGTCCGCAAAAGGATTTCCCAGGATATGTTAAAGACTATTGCATTTACTTACAGACACTTTTTCACATAATGGAATTAACTAAAATATTTATGTAAATCTAAACACTTATTGCACGTCCCCTACTATCATATATATGTGCTTCTGCGGCGACTAATGAAACCCTTCCGCACCAGTTTTCAAGACTGCAAAAATGGACTCAAAATGGGCGTTTCTCACCCTAGTTGTAATGTATGTAAATACTTATATGTTTGAAACTACTATTAACTTGTCGAACGATTCCTAATCTTTGACAATACATTCATTCACCACGATCTTGAAAACTGACCAAATCGGCGTGACCAAGTCCATGGTCATTTTAATATTATATAAACATCCGAAAACATTAAAAGGCTTGAAATAAATCTCGTCTCACTTTTTTGTATTTTTCACTTGGTTGCTGAAGTAATGAAGAATTGAAAACTCATAAGGGAAAATTATAGTTTTTGTAAGTTTTATCGTAATATCTTAAAAACGTGTAGACTTATTGAAAAATGATAAGTGAACGTGAGGTACTAAATTTAATAGCCCTTAATTTGATATATCGTCCTGTTTATAACAATAACGCATTCCATAGATATTACAAGCCAAAGTTTCATTTACAAAATTCATACACTTTGATTCAATTGCGCGGGCTAAAGATAAGTTTTAAATTAATCTTTCGTGGCCAATAACAATTGACGGAGACCTGAGACATCATAATATTACTATTACAATGCGGTCAAATGACTTTTATTTTCCCCCATACAAAATCGACCCAGCCTAATGTACATACATATAAGTATAGTAATTTAACCTCATTTATCAAAAATTCAATTGAGTAGTCCACTTGCAAAGTGTGCTATGTATAATTTTTTCGATTTCTAGTTTTTGGTGGATTACGTACCAGTATTTAAAGTAGTTTCATGTCCACTAACATCAGAGTGCAAAATCTTTTTATATTCTGAAAAAAAAATCGCATCAAATGTTAAGTCTTCTTCCAAAAGTCGCTATCATACTTATTTATAAACTTTCAAAAGTATCCATCTTCTGATGAACTTAGAAAACTGCTTTAGGTCGTATAGACTGTTAGGCTGCGTTTCTTTATACATTCCGGATAATCCCATTTCACAGCCGGAATAAACAGAATGCGTTTGAAATATACGTCAACATATCATCAGGAACGTTCTAAAGAATAAATAAACAAAAAAGTTTATTCCAAACATTCAGAATGAATAAAGAAATGCAGCCTTAATGTTATCTTATGACATGTTATGTTATGTTACAATTTTATAAGGCTCTTACTTATCCAAATTTTCAGGTTATAATAAAAAGGATTCAATTAAAATGTTACCTGTTGTCGTAGTAATTTTTTCAAATTTATGGCTTTCTATTATAAAATCACATAACGCTGTTTGCAAGTGGACTACTCAATTACTCACATGGTTTGGATGCTTTTATCCGCCGATGTGCACGCTGCAAGTATCAAGCAAAATGAAGTTTTTGTTTTTGTTTTCAATGTAATGCTCGCAAGCCACGCCACAAACCACGAGCATGCTCACTGAAAATGAATTTTTCCCACACAAACGACGAACATGCACTGCAAGCCGAGCATGCTCGCGCACATTTACATCGTGTGTGCTACCAGAGCTGTAAAGCTGTGAAATCATATGAAATTAAAAATCATCAAGTTTATGTTATTATGTTTTCATTGAATTTTTCCTTGTTGGGGAATGTGGCTTATAATTTTCCAATTCTACATCCACTCAAAGTAGAAACGATTGCACACATTAGCATATTCAAAGAAATATTGAAACAATTGAATGACGAAACACTTTATCTTTTAACACTGAATAAGTATTAGATGAATGCAGCTTTTGCTATGTGTGCACACATTCATTCAGTACCAATCAATCGATATAAATATTCTAAGCACACAAAACCCACTGAAAAATACGCAAGGTTGAATTTTATTAAACAGATTTCAAAATTTCAACACGAAAAATAGTTTATTGAGTGTTGCCATTAATTTGTTTCACTTAAATTTGTACAAGTATTTATAATAAATAAAAATATCAATTGGAGAAATATTTTTAGTGACAAGAATGTAAGAATGTCATTATGAAAAATGTTAATTATTAACGACTTTAACATCTCTGTTTCGAAAATTGTCAGCTTTCTAGCAATTTTTATACCCGAGCGCACTTGTGCACAAGGGTATTATAACTTTGTTCACATAACGGTTGTTTGTAACAGGCAAAACGAATCGAGATAGATATAGACAAATGTATACATAAATGATCAGGATGAAAAGAGAAATCGATTAAGCGGTGACNTCAGTAAATATTAAAGCTAATTTATTCAAAATTGCCGCTTACAACAATTCGTTACCAAGAAATACGTTTATGATAAAATTTTGGCAAATGGGCGTGGCACCGCCCACTTATGATCACATATATGTATCTCGGTAACCGTTCTACCAATTTGTACCAAACTCGGTATTTTTATTGCGCTTGCCACATAAAAGCAAAACGTTGAAAATTATTGAAATCGGACTAAAATTACGGCCGCTTTTCATATAACGGTAAATTTCAGAAATGCTTGAAACTTCAATATTTCGAACTTTAAGGACGCTAATTTACTTAAAATTGATACACCTCGGCTTACCATTAGCGGTAGTTTTCGGAAAGGTGAAAAACATATATTTAATATTTGCGCCGGGTGTTTTATGTTCGGGTCCGAACTTAGACTTTCTTACTTGTTATTTTTTATTTTGGAAGCTGAAAGTCCGTACTATTAAATAAGTTAATAAAAAAACCTATTTTTACATTAATTTTTTATTAATTCCATTAAAATTTTTGAAATTTTTATTAAAAAAATATGTTTTTCCTGGAATAGCGTAAGGACACCCTGTGTTTAAATTTTTTCCTAAATTTTTATTCTTATAGTTATCTACTGCAGGGGTTCTTAAACTTTTAAGATCATGGAACCCTTACTAAACACCTTTCATTTTATGGAACCCCACATCAAATTACTAAAAATCAAAGGCACTGCAATTTAAATATGAATAAAAACTTTTCCTGGAAATAGTATACATACTTTAAATTTTAATGTGAAGAATGAAATTGTTTCACTGCTATTAATTATTGTATAAAATAGTAGTTCGATATCATGTCTGAAAGCTGCATGCGCATTTCTGGGGTAGCATCCAATTTCGAGATGAATTGGTTTTTTGTATAAATGCAAGCTGAAAACCCTGTTGACAGAGTACGTTGTGACAGAAGGAAGCAAAGTTAAGATGGCCTTTTTAGCGACTTTATTTACTCTTAACCCTAACCCAAAACTCTTTCAGAGACACAGATTCAAATGTGTTTCAATGTCGAAGTACTCTGGACATCTATGAATGCTTCTTAAATGGATTTTGTACCAAACCGATATTACTACTACCATCCGAAAAATTTCAGGTGATTAACCAAGTGCCTAGTTATGACATTTCACATTTCATTTGGCAATTCATCGCGTTCCTCGCAGAAAGTTGTATATAACCCTTTGACTACAGTGCAGTGGCGGATACAGGATTTTATTTGGGGAGGGGCGATCGGGATCGTCTTGTCGAATAACGTAAAATTACAGGCATCTAACTTGATTCACAGCGGAGTGACCAATCGAAGCTATTTGACCTACAAGCATCCAACGTGCTTGAACCTTCACTTATTTTTCACACAAATAGAGGTTCTAGTAATTTTTATGAAGTCCGAATTAAAATGTTTTGTGATATAATTTTACTTTAAGTAAGTTTCATGTTGTGAATTTAGCGCAAGGTCCATTTACAGAGTCCCATGTAATAAAACAATTATACAATTTTGTAAAAAAGCACAAGAGAAAAAGTTATGCTCTGGGTACTATTAAAGCAGTATATATTTATCGGCCGCTGTGGTGTAGTGGTAAGCAGTGCGCGCTTTCACTCATCAGCACCTGGGTTCAAGCCCTGGTCAAAGTAACATCGCAAAAAATATAGAAAAAGGTTTTTTCTTAACAGTGGTCGTCCCTCGGCAGGCAAACTTCCGAGTGTATTTCTGCCATGAGAAACAGCTTCTCATAAAAATACAATCGCCGTTCGGAGTCGGCGTAAAACTGTAGGTCCCTCCGCTTTGTGTGACAACATCAAGGCGCACGCCATAAGTCGGAGGAGAAGCTCGGCCAAACACTTAAATATGTGTAAGCGCCAATCTATCGTTATTGCATTAAACGAGCAATTCTTGTATATGTATATATATATATATATCCGTAGGGTTCTCGGAAACGTCCCTAACGATTTTGATGAAATTTTGTACACAAATACCGTTTTGGATTTTAAGGTTATCTGAATAGGCAATATCTCCGAGAAGACTCGTATAAGGTTGCTACCTATTCGAATTTTGTTACAAATTAATTAAAACATCATAATATGGGTATCCAATAGAAGGTATTTTAAAGATCCCTAATTCAAAAATATTTTTAATAAGGTTTACACCTATTTTGAATCGCATATTTATTTAATTTTTTGTTGTAATACAAATTGTAATACAAATTTTTATTTTGTTAATCTCAATCAGCATTTTTTTATGTATACATAGTACACATACGCTCCAGCGTATTTCAAAATAGGGTTGCCACCTAAATTTTAGAGTAAGGAATTTACTTAATAGATATGGAAACTTGAAAACTTTAAAAAGTATATGCACTCCGGGCAAAGCTCGGTCAACCTGGTACTTATTATTACATATTTGTGTATATTACATAAATGTTTATTTTTTACTTATAATGTTTGTCAAATGAGGGATGTAATTAAGTAACTTAGCAACTAATTCGGAATTTTGATTATAATAATTTAAATTGCAAACTCAATTTTGCGCTTTCCTTTTGGGAATCTTTGTATTATCCGTTCAGTGCCAATTTCAATATCTAAGGGCCAGTTTCAGTGGCAGTTAAAACTTAGATTACGTAAGCTGAATTTAAAATGGACAGCTGACTGACATTTGATTGGCTAATCTTAGTTTAAAGCAGCCAGCTCGGGCGTTTAAACTAAGTTTAAACCACGACCGTGCACTGAAAAACTGGCCCTAAGTGTACGTGTAAAAGTGCTAGACCTATCAGTCTTTTTTCATTCATGGCACTATGGAACCATGTTTTTTTACCGGCGAAGGGCAACTTCTTTTTGAAGTAGCGTTACTAGCTAGAAGTGTAGTCAGAATGCGGAGAAGTTTGTTAATTAACGGAAAAGCATATTCGTCGTCCCATTTACCAAGAACTTCTGCTGCTGATTTTAGTATTATATTCCCTAATTTTATATGTATGGAAGTAATAGTTCAGATCAAAAATCTTTATGTAATGTATGGCAACCTTTCTCGGAGATCGAGCTAGATATTATGAAATAGCGGTATAAATATTACCTTTCGATATAATCTTCGGCGCTAGATGCACGATAATTAGCCCGAAAATTTCATCTATACGCACTCCGAGGAAGGATATTGTCCAAATAGTATAATTCCTTAGCGATATCGGTAACTAACGCGGCAANTATTATATTCCCTAATTTTATATGTATGGAAGTAATAGTTCAGATCAAAAATCTTTATGTAATGTATGGCAACCTTTCTCGGAGATCGAGCTAGATATTATGAAATAGCGGTATAAATATTACCTTTCGATATAATCTTCGGCGCTAGATGCACGATAATTAGCCCGAAAATTTCATCTATACGCACTCCGAGGAAGGATATTGTCCAAATAGTATAATTCCTTAGCGATATCGGTAACTAACGCGGCAAGCGCTTCTCTACGCATTTTGCTGTTATCCCCCTACGAATTTCTGGTTACACAGTTGAATGTGAAATTTTCTACATTCCCCGCGGAAATAGACATAAAGTAGTATCAAATAGTTGTTATAATAACTTTACGACACTAACATATTGGCAAGGTTTCACCATTTATTTTAAAAATTTTTAATTTTAATTGTTGTTTTTTAAAGGTATAGCATATTTTCGGACATGGGCGTAGTGCACTAATCTTTGAGTGGACTATGCTTTTAACTACCACTGCTATAGCGATAGTGGAGCCGGTTTTTTTATGAACAAACATTTTTAGTGGAAAAAATCAGTGTTCGCACTACCACTATTATTTCTAGTGGTAGTGCACAATGCTTTCCACTCCAAGCCTAGTGATATTGGAGCTGACAAAATTTCCAATAAATTAATATTAATGGCTTAAAGACTATTTCCACTAAATCTTGCAAATAGAGGAAAAAAGCCATGTTTCCACTAAATAATACTAATGCTAAGGAAAAACTGATATCGCACGTTTAATAATATGTAGATGTAATTAAAAATTTACGTCCTTGGAGATTCCATAATACAATTAAAAAGCTTGATGAGGAGAATATGTTAGCCAAAAATGGCGAAGATATGTGTCTTTCCATCTGCCTTTTGGTATACCAACTGTATGAATTGATCAAACTTTAAATGCTTTTCCCACAAATTTGAAAATTTGAAAAATTTCTTTATATTTGCTTTGTTCCACACGCTTTCCGGGCTGTTTCGGTATTAGAGCATAAAAATAAGTTATTCTCTCAATTGCTAAAAATAAGTCAACATGTTCCAAAAGTGCCCAGAGCGTGAGGAACGCAAAAAACCACATTTCGTGCCCGGAATCAACAAATCAGCTCTAAACAATGATTTTATGTATATTTATCTTATATGGCTAATAAAATTAGCAAATACCTACATTTCTGAAACGATACTGCTATTTTCCATTTTGGTATTTTGCGCTCGGATTTAAACAAACAACAACTGTTATTTCAAATTGACTTCTTGCACATTTCTGCCCGGAAAAAAGTCCATGCTGTTTCGGGCACGAAGAAGAAGACCTTTACGATTCAAAAGTGGAAGGTAGTCGCTCTCTGTTACCTATTTTTCTAGCGTGAGAAACGCTTTCTGAGCTGTTTTGGTCTCCCGCGGGATCCCGCGGGCTCGTGTGGAACAAACCTTTTATTAAATAAACGTGCTATATATTGACTATGTATTCATCATCTCACAACTCAAAATTACACGTTCGTCAGAAAATGCAAAAACTATTCCTTAGCACATGCTAATCATATGGGCAAGGAAGATTTTACCTTAGATTTTTTCAACAATTTTTAAAAAAGAACTTGCTCCAGCACCAGTGTACATTTTTAGTGCATAATTTCAAAAATGTCAAATTTTGAGTTGCGTCACTTTTGAAGATCGTGTGCGATATGTGTATAAGTAACCTCTTACGTGAGTCTACACTTCGTGTTTTTAATATTTAAATCCATAAAAGCGAAATTTGTGTTTGTGGTTATCTTAAAAAATATTGTAATTGTATTGAAATACACTGTAAATTGATATGTATGTACTTATGTTAGAAAATATACACACATATATTCAAAAGCCGATACATTTCCAAAAATCACTTGAAAAGGCGTAATTACTTTATATATTTTTTATTGAAAATTTTTTACATTACCACAAAACTCATTAGTGGTAGTGGAAAAAAATTCAATTACGACTAAAGGCATTTATTGTTAGTGGACATTTTTTCAACAACCACTAACGCATTTAGTGGTAGTGAAAAAAAATCTGAGTCCCACTACCATTAGTGGGATTAGAAAAAAATAAGCCTCACTATATTCAATATTAGTGGTACTTGAAATTTAGTGCACTACGCCCATGTCTGCACATTTTTAACAGAAGCCATATAAATCCAAGTTTCAATCTTTGTGCAAAATTAAAAAAGAAATCAACAAACTTTGTAAAAATTTCGAGCTTTTTAATTAGATTTTTTAGAAACATTTTAAGTATGCAGTTTTGTAGCCCAATTTCATGTACCATTGATTTTTGGGAATTTTATTCGTCGAAGGTGTTGCTCATTTTCTCGATATAACAAAAAAATCATCGACAATTTTTGTATGGGATAAAATAGCTAACATGGTCAACAAAAAAAAAAAAAGCGAAACATCAGTAACTTTAAACTTGCAGTACAATTGAATGGGCTAAAAAACTGCTTACTCAAAATATTTCGAATTAAAATGTTCGAAATTTTTACGAAAGTTTGTTGATTTTTTAAAACGTTGCCCAGAGATTCAAGCTTGGATTTAAATGGTTTTTGGTTAAACATTATACTATATTTTTATAAACAAATAATGAAAATTATAATATATTAAGACAAACGCCGTAAAGCTATGACAAGGTTTATAAATTCATAGCACACTTAGGTCTCCTTTTTTGCGGCTTTTCAAACCACTTTTTCGCTGTAGCGATTTTGCTTTTTTTAGAGCTTTTATTACTTTTTTTTCAGTGTGTAAGAGATAGTGCTTCTGATAAATAATTTGTCTTTGCATTCTTAATAATTCATGTATTTATTGTGGTATTTTCTTTGTTTTTGGTTAAAACACAGATACCATCTTATGCATTTCATTAATGTTCAGTTTTACATGGAAAATAAGTGTTGAAGAAGTAAAGAAATAAAGGTTTTTTTTTTTAAATTTTTTTCAAACTTCTCGTTTGAAGTAATATATTTTAACCGACATTTTTTCCAGCTCTGGGAGGGGGTGGCGATCGCCCCCATTGGTCCTCCCCTGTATCCGCCACTGCTACAGTGGCCAACAACATATACCGGTTAGAAAAAAATCAAGCTAGCAAGCGCAAGCTCACCGCTCTTATGTAGGTATAACACATGAACCAACTAACAAGTTCACGCAATCGGAAAAGAATGAAAAAAGTAAATTTCTGAGCGTTTTGAAGTGTGCCTAAGATTGAAAACAAACAAAGAAAACAAAAAAGGCGCGGTGATTGAGTGCGATTG